GATTCCAACTGGCCCTTAATTCTGATAACAAAAGGCCAGAGTGTTGCTCCAGGCCCAGCTGGCTCCCGTTTCCTTGGCTACAGAAGGAGCCAGTGATGCAGACCTTCCAAGGCAGGCCCAGGCATGAAGTGCTTCTCTCTCCTCTGCCTGAACTGGATTCTCCTTGGGGGCGAGGCTGCTGTTTGCTGAAGAAATGAATGGGCAGCCCTGTGAAAATGCCATGCGAATCATTAGGTGTGATTTAATTGTAGTGTGATTTAATAAACGGTGATTTATTGTGTTTAAGTGTGGAATGGTCAGGAATCGTTATCATCAGCACTCCTATTTATTGAGCAGTTACTATACACCAGGCACTGTTGTAAGCACTCTGCAGGTCTTAACCCTCTGACTCCTCCCAACAAGGCTATATCGTGGGTGCTATGATGATGCCCATTTTACAGATGACAAAGCTGAGGCCCAGAGGTTTGTAAAAGGGATCTAACTGTCAGTGAGGCACAGAGGACAGCCAGAACTGGAAATGACCAAATGCATGGTGGAGTGGAGGATTACTTCTATTCAACCACAGCTTCCTCACTATTGGTGTACCTGGGGGAGGCCTCCAGGAAGGAGGGCTGAGATTGCTGCATCCTCATTTGTCCTAACTTGGCTTTATTCATCTGTGCTGCTCAGGAGAAAACTCTAAGAACCAGCTCTAGGCCAAGCACCAGGCTGGGTGTGAGGAGGCAGAGATAAGCATTCTGGTTCCTGCCCTCAGAGAGGCCCAGGGAGACAGACCCAGACAAGTAAACGGAGTTACCACACCCACCGTGAGAGAGAGAAGCTGAGGGAGGGAGGGAGCAGGTTCCGGGGCGCATTCACCCGGCCTGCTGAGTGTGTGCTGGGGGCTGAAGTGCCTTCCCACCTGACTCTTGACAGGAAGCGGAGGTGTGGGCCTCGAAGGAGGGTGCTGGGCTGGGCTGGGCCGGGAGAGGGAGCAGCCTGGAGGTGAGAGATTGCACTCCTGCCTCCTCCTTGAACATCTCCCTCCTTGCCCTTCATCCTCCTGGACCCTGGAGCGAATATACACTATGGTTTCCCTCTTCTTTTAAAGCAACAGCTAATTTCTCCCTGATCCTGGCTCTCTGCCAAAGGTGAGTAGCCATGTTAATGATTTCATCAATATGCTGGGATTTTCACTTCCCAAAACTGTTCCGCTGTTAGGGATGCTCTTCCTCTTTTTGGCTGACAAACTCCCTGGCACCGTTTACAAAGATGTGGGCAGAGTGTAGGGAAGTCACAAGGGATGGTCTAGACCCTACGGCTAGTGACAGAGGGGCACCATTTGCTGTGTCTAGACCTGAAGGGGCAAGGAGGGAACAGTGACTGGAACCTGGTGAGAGAGCTGTGTGTGAAGAGGCCGCCCTGCAGGAGCCGTGACTTTATGTTCCTGGACTGTACATGCAGGGAGCCAGGGGAATGGAGACTGACTTCTCTCTCCTTCCCGCCAGTCCCCTGCCAATGCCTCCCATCGGTGGTGCCAACTGGAACCCAAGTGGAAGCAGAGGGCAAGGGGCCAGGGGATACAGTCATAGAAGTCAGCCTCCGGGGGCAGAGAGCAGGGCGAAGAAGGGCACAGAGTGGGTGTGGATCTGGATGGGCAAATGGAAGCTCTTCAGCACAAGTACTTATCAATCAATGTTATGGGCTGAATGGTGTCCCTCCAAAATTCATATGCTGAAGTCCTAACCCCCACTACCTCAGGACGTGACTGTATTTGGACATAGAGTCTTTAAAGAGGTATTTAAGTTAAAATGAGGTCATTAAGTTGGGCCCGAATCCAACATGACTGGTGTTATAAGAAAAGACAGAGGGAAGACCACGTGGAGACACAGGGAGAAGACGGCCATCTACAAGCCAAGGAGAGAGGCCTCAGAAGAAACCAACCCTGCCAACCTTGATCTTGGACTTCTAGCCTCCAGAATTGTGAGGAAAGAGATCTCTGTTGTTTGAGCCACCCAGTCTGAGGTACTTTGTTATGGTGGCCCTCGCAAACTAATACAACCTATTCAGCTATTCAGCACATAACTTATCAATTCTAAGCTATTCAGCACATAACTTATCAATTCTGAATTTGCCTCTCTGTCTCCCCCACTGGACAGTCAGCTTCTCCAGGACTCAGCACAGGGTCAGGTAGGTGCTTACATGTCTGTGGGATGAATGGATCGTTTAACAAGAAAATAAAACAATAAGGCAATCTATGAAATAGCATCAAAATGCTGCAGTCCCTGGTGGCAATCAGATGATGGGACACAGCGGCGACAGCGATGCTGTAACAGCCAGCAGACTTCTTACTCACGAGCACTCACTAAGTGCCGGGGCTGTGATGAGCGCTTCACATGAATGGTCGCTTCTACTCTTGCAACAAGCCACACAGAGAGTTAACAGTGCCTTCCACATTTTAACAGATGGGGACACAGAGGTTTGGAAAGTTCTGTAACTTGCCCAAGGTGACACGATTCGTGGGCACATCTACAGTGTGAGACAGTGGGACAAAAATGGGGCCAAGTGGTGGAAGGAATATGGCCTTTTGGAGAGTTTACAAGTTCTGTTTCCTTACCTGCAAGATTGTCAGGACATTACCTATGGCATCAGGCACTTGAACACTTGAGTGAGATAATCCAGGTCTTTGCGGCAGTGCATGGCATGCGTGCACCAGCCCCTTGCAGGCTTAAGGGCCCTGGGGAGGAGACAGAAAGCCTCTAATGTCCATTCTGCCTGCCCCCAGCTGCCCAACAGCTTCCTCCTATATTCTGAAGGAACGCTCACTGGGCTGCGCACTTCCTGTTGCAAGCTCAGAGGGTTCCCGGTCCATCTTGCTCCCACATCTCCATGGTCTCCCCACTCTCCCCACCAACATTCTGCTCTCTCAGTTACAGAAGCATTAAATATGATGCTGGAGGGGAAACTTTAAAGGCTTGGAAGAGGAAGTGACTTCCCCAAGAAGATGTAGAGAGAAAATTCCTGCCCTGCAATTGCTCCCCCACTGAGGGTTTGGGTCTCTGGCTCCCCTCCCTGAACTTGGAATAAACCCGTCTAATTCTTGAGCAGCGGTAACTGCAGTGGCCTCCGGGGCAGGCCCGAGTGGGAGAAGGGAAGTGTGTCTGTGGTCTGGGCTGGCAGCTAGCTCTGACTTGGACAGAATTAGAAACTTGTCAGGAGGCCTAGGAAGACTATATTTAGCCGGGAGCATGTTTGCTCTCCCTAGAGTGAAGTCTTCTAGACCTTCCAAGGACTGGGAGAACACAGCCTCCACACTTGGCCCAGCAGCCAGAGCTGTGCTCTTCCCTGTTCCAGAGGGCCCTGAGGCAGCAGTGAAACCCACCTCTCAGTTGAGCCCTGGGCCTCAAATCACCCTGTCCGCTGCCCCCGGGGCTGGTTTTGCCTGACCTCCTCAGTCCACCAGTCTTCACCTTGTGGCACAGCTAGGGAGGCATTGTGGGGTCCTGGAAAGGGCTGGGGGTGGGCTGGAAGCCTGGCTCTGTCAGTTACCTGTCAGACGAGGTACTTAACCGCGCGTGGCCTCACTTTGTCATCTACGATGAGGATAATAACAGCCACTCTGTGGGTAGGTGTGTGGATTCAGTGAGCTAATGCAAACAAGCAGTGACTGCTCATGGAACATGCCTTTCCTCCTCCTCACCAGCCTCCCATAAAAACGGGAGGACTCGGAGATGATTTGATGCTCTTTCCTGCTGACAAAGATAATGGGCTCCCGGGAGATATTTTGTGTGTATGCGATTCAAAACATTTCACTGAATTAAAAAGTTCAAATATGAATACGAAGTCTTCCCAGGCCAAACTCTGAGGGATAAAGAAAAAATTCTTCCTTTCCCTCCTACGGTTTCACTGGAGAGAACCAACGTTCACAGCCTGGTGTGTCCTTCCACATGGTTTCTATCCTCATACAAACACAAACACATATAAAGGCGTTTTCTTTTTTAACAGGTTAGGATCCCACTAAAGGCGTTTCTCTGCAACTTACTCTTTCATCTAAGTCATGGGCATTCATCTAGGTAAATACATATGAATCTAACGCGTTCATTTTAACAGCTGCATAGGATTCCGTAGAATATACGAACCATAATTTTCCAGCCATTTCTTTTTTTTGGCCATTACAAATAATACTGCAATGACGATCCTTGCATAAATATCTTCATGAAATCGTGCTTTCATTTCTATGAGGTACTTTACCCCAAGTATGATCTTGGGGCCAAAAGGTAACCCTCAGGTTACTTTCCTCAGATTTTTGAGCTTCCTTCTCAGAATTTCTTTGTTCCGGACACTTGCACTTTTCAAGCTCCAAGGAGGAGTTAGCTAGCGACGCCTCCCGCGGAGAAAACACTAGCTGTCGGCAGATTCCCTATTAGAGCGGATGCAGGTGGCGCTCCAGGGCCCAAGGGTTTAGAGCAGAGCGCTCAACAGCAGGAGACGGAGCGCGGAGGCCTGGTCTCTAGTGTGACCCTGGGCAAGTGACTGCCCCTCCCCGGGCCTCGGTTTCCTTCTGAACCAAGATCAGGCGCAGTCGGGGCCCAGAGATGGGGACCTCTAATCTCTGCCTTTATGCATTCCATGGCGTGGTTGGCTCCCCAGAATAGTAGGCTGCGTCTTCCCCCTAACTTCCCATCATCTTCCCTCCGCGAGGCCGGACCTTCTCGAGAGGAGTTGGCTCAGCAAGGCAGAAAGGGTTAAGCCATTGCCATAATTAATCCCTCCCCTAGATCGGTCATTTATTGCTTCTGCCCGGCTGTGGCTCGCTCCGTCCCCTTCGGCTCGGCTGTCGAGTGCTCCTGTCTGAACCTGGCGGGCAGCCGAGGAGCGCGTCAGTTCGGCCCATCCTTTGCTTCTGCCTGGCTCAGCTCTCCATGAGGGCTGTAGTCTAAGCACCGCGATCCTCGACTCGGCCAGCAACTTACGCCCCCTTTGCCTGCCGCGGGCGCTTCCGCTTCCGGTACCCTGGCCGTGCTGGATCCCAGGCCCGGGCCATGGCAGGGAGCCGGCTGGAGACCGTGGGGAGCATTTTCTCTCGGTGTGTGCTCGGAGCCGGGCTGAGCCGGGCGGGGGCTCTCAGCGGGTCACGCTCCTCCTTGGGTGTGTCTGAGCAGGGTGAGGCGTTCTCCGGAGGCGCGGGTCTGAGCCCGGTGGGGACTCTTGTGCTGTCTCCTGCCTCTGAGTAGTTGGGCTCTTTGAATTTCTTACCTTTCCCGTTAAAGGTTGCAACTCCCCTGTCCCCGAGTGGAGGTCTCCAGGAAGAGCAAGGGAGGGAGAGGCTGATGGGCCTGGCTGGTCCGTCCTTGCATTTTCCGTGATGGGGCGAGGGGGGTGGGGCGCACGTAAGAAGATAGAAGGACCTAACCCCTGAGCGTTGTTAGGTTGGTTTGGGATATGAAGTATCTTACCTGTAGATGGGGAACCCCCTGCTCCCCGCATTCTCCGGTTCTATGTTGGAGATTCGGTGAGCCCTCTGATATCCCAGGCTGTGGCTAGACTGATTCAGGGGCTTAGACAGGCTGTTGTAACCGACTGACCGTCGTTCTTTTCCCTTCCTGAAGGACTCGGGACCTGATTCGGGCTGGGGTGTTGAAGGAGAAGCCCCTCTGGTTTGACATATACAACGCTTTTCCCCCGCTGAGGGAGCCGGTCTTTCGGAGGCCCCGCTTGCGATACGGCAAAGCCAAAGCTCCCATCCAGGACATCTTTTACCACGAGGATCGGATTCGAGCGTGAGTGTGAAGCCCGTGTGGTGGACAGGAGGCAGCAGAACTTCAGAAGGAAAGGTTTAGCTAGCAGTCTGGTAACTTAAATTAGGAATTGAGTCAGAGCTTGCCCTGTGGAGAAGGTCTTGTATATCTAGCTAAATTAGGGAATCAGTGCCCGTCCCCCACGTGAGAGAAACAGAAGTTGTGAGAAGTAGAATCTGGAGCCCAACAGTTGACTGATCATTGCAATTGTAGCTACCCGTTTCTGCGCACCTGCTTTGTGCTAAGCACTATGCTAAGCCTTTAACAAACGTTATCTCATGTAAGCCCTACTCTATCCCTGCAAGGTAGGTATACTTGTCTCCATTTTATTCATGACGACTATGAGGCTCAAGGAAGTCAAGTAACTAACTTCCTGTGTGGTTACACGGGAAGGTGGCAGACCTGGGAATCACATCTGTGACGCCAAGCTTGCGCTTGGTCCATGTGCCTGCCTTCTCCAGGACTGGAGATAGGAACATGGTCTAGGGATCCAGTCGGGATCTTTGAAGCCACTTCAGAGAGAAGGAAGCTTATGAATCCAAGGGATTTAAAAATAATCATCACTAGGAATTGGAGGGAAGGTGCTTTCTTTCTTTGTTTCTTTAGTATCTACTCTTTTATTGTAAAAGTAACACATGCTCATTGTAGAAAATTTAGAAACAAAGGAAAAGCATAAAAAAGAAAGCACAAATCACCGATAATCCCACCATCTAGAGAGAATGTTTTGAAGTCAAGCCTGGCTACTTCTAGCTGAGTGACCTTGGGCAAATTACCCTGCAAGCTTCAGTTTCCACAGAGTAAAATATAACAATAGTACCTAATAGACTGTTAAGATCTGTTTTTTTTTGTGAGGAGGACTAGCCCTGAGCTAACATCTGATGCCAATCTTCCCCTTTTTTCTTGAGGAAGATTGGCCCTGAGCTAACATCCGTGGCCATTTTCCTCTACTTTTATATGGGACACCGCCACAGCATGGCTTAGCAAGCGGTGCATCATTGCGCACCCGGGATCTGAACCTGCAAACCCCGGGTCGCCACAGCAGAGCGCGCGCACTTAACCGCTTGTACCACCGGGCCGGCCCTGAGACTGTTAGGATTAAATAAGATAACATATGAAAAGCTTTTAGTCCAGTGCTTTGCACAAAGTAAGCCTTCAATAAATGTTAACCAGTATTACTGTTATGATTAATAACATTTGGGTCTGTTTCCTTCCAGTCTTTTCTGTGTATATATATATATTTAACTGGTAACATCTGATACTAATAATTCATGCCTTTTTTTGCTCCTTAACATTATTGCATTTTCTCATGTTATACTTTTTTTTTTTTTGATGAGGAAGATTGGCCCTGAGTTAACATCTCTTGCCAATTTTCCTCTTTTTGCTGAGGAAGATTAGCCCTGAGGTAACATCTGTGCCCATCTTCCTCTGTTTTGTATGTGGGACACCACCACAGCATGGCTTGATGAGCGATGCATAAGTCCACACTCGGGATTCAATCCTGCAAACCCTGGGCCACTGAAGCGGAGTGTGCAAACTTAACTACTACCCCATGGGTCCAGCCCCTCATGTTATACATTTTGTAAAATGTATTAACCTATTGTGAATGTTCTGTATTTAAGCATTTCTGTAATGTTGGACATTTATGGTGTTTATATAATATTAGCTATAATAAATAGCAATATTTTTGAAGATATGTCTTTCTCTATAACACTGATTGTTTCCTTAGGGTGGATTTTTTGAGTAAACTCAACTATCTTTTTCTGAGTCGCTTTCCAAGTGCAAATCAGGTGTTGAAACTAGTAGAAATATTTGTTCTTTTACCTCCTTCACTCTCCTTTTCCCCCAGAGCTAAATAGCCATGGGAGAGGTACTTCTAATGGTTTCCCGGTAACATTCTTAAAAATGTCTCTAAAGCTCTTTTTTTTTCTCATTTGAGTCACGTATAAACCTTTTAGCCAAATCCTTAATTTTATGATGATAAAACAAAAAGAGTAGCTCAGTGGTCACATTCTTTTGGGGATACTTCTCTGATGGCTCCCGGAGTTAGTGTCTCCCCGTTTGTGTACGCTGAGTACTGTGTTCGTGTTGCCCCTGTTATGGCCTTAGCCTGTCCTTGATAACTCTGCATGCCAAACACGCTGTCTTCATTCAATAACAAACATTTATTAAGCACTGCCATGGGCTAGGCACTGTCATATTCATCCTTGTAACCTCAGTGCCCAGGCCAGTGCGTGGCATGCAAGTTGCTTTTTTAATTGTCTCGTGAAAGAAGAAATTAATGAATGAACCACTCTGCCAGCGGAGGGAGGCATAAAAGAAAATTCTTTGATGAGGAGGAATGGAGGGCCAGGATTGGGGCTGATGGAGAACAGCCATCAGAGTTTTATTAGTTCCCTGAAACAACTTCTGGAATAATGGGTTAGAAACTACTTCTATGGCCACAGTTAACCCTGCTATACACATATTTGGGCTCTATGTAAGTGGTAAGTCTCTCACTGGGAATTCACTGACAAAGCCCTTTCCCTCAAATATTGATGCAGTTAGTTTTAAGTACTTAGAATTTGTACTGTTCCTTTTCTCTTAAATGTTAGGATCAGAAATTGTGCCTAATTGAAGTTAATACATATCCCTTATTCTTACTCCTGTTCCTGGATGTAAGAAAACAATTTATAAAGTCATTGTATTCTCTATTGAGGTCCAGCCACCTTTCATCTGAGGAATCTTTTTTTTTCCGCAACACTCCTTTGAGGTAGGAGAACAAGTATGTTCTTGCTGTACTTGGAAATTTTTAGGGTAGGATACGAGATCTTTGGGGCATTAAATACTTTTTCAGCACTTTTCTGCTCAGGTCCATTGCATGCACTTGGTCAGGATGCTTTCCAGGTTCATTTATAAATTAAAATCATTTGTGCTTCTCCTGTGTGGCTAGCAGTAGAACTGGGTGATAGGTCATTGGAGAACGTGGAATATTTTACTGCTCTCTCTGTTATTACTGTTAATGCCAAAATAATAACACCCTGTTTTAAATAGTTTTTTAATCTTTATCTTTGTGGCTTTTTTTCTTTTTTCATGTTTTTGATATTTTTAAGAATTTATAAGAAAATAAATTCCAGATATATCAAAACCTAAATGTAAAAAGTGAAATCATAAAAGTTCTAGAAGAAAATATGGGAGAATTTTAAAAATAATCTGAGTGATAAAGGCCTTTCGAAGCATGACATAAAACCCTTAAGTCATAGTGAAAATACTAAAATTTTCTGCACAAAAAAAAGTACCATAAGCAAAATCAAAAGTCGTCCAACATACTGGCAAAAAATTTGGCACCATGTGTGACAAAGGGCTAATTTCCTGTTTATACTACTATAAAGTTTGCTTGTAAGTCAGTAAGAAAAAGACCACCATACATATGTAATGAATATGATTCAGCCATAAAAAAACAAGGAAATCCTATCATTTGGGAATACATGGATGGACTTTAAAGGCACTGTGCTAAATGAGATAAGCCAGACAGATACTGTATGATCTTACTTATATGTGGAATCTAAAACCAACAAACTCATAGAAAAAGAGATCAGACTTGTTACCAGAGGCAGGGAATGGGGAGGGGGAATTGGAGGGAGGAGGCCAAAAGGTACAAGCTTCCACTTATAAGATGAGTACTAGGAATGTAATGTACAACATGATGACTGTAGCTAACACTGCAGTATGATATACAGGAAAGCTGTTGAGAGTAAATCCTAAGAGTTCTCATTACAAGAAAATTTTTCTTTCCTTTCTTTTTATTGTATCTACATGAGAAGACAGATGTTAGCTAAACCTGTTGTAATCATTTCACGATATATGTAAATCAGACTGTCATGCAGTAAGCCTTAAATTTATACAGTGATGTATGTCAATTATTTCTCAATAAAACTGGAAAAAGAAAGAAAGAAAGAAAAAGACCACCAAGTGGAAAAATGGGCAAAGAACATGGACAGGTCACAGAAGAGGAAATTCAGTTTGCTTTTAAATATGAAAAGATATCCAATCTCTTTTGTAAGAAAAGCAAAACTACAATGAGTTATGATTTTTCATCTATCAAATTGACAAAGATCAAAAATTGGAGAATGTAATTTGGCCAGGGTATGGAAGTAGGCAGTCTCATATGTTACTGGTGGGTAGAAATTGGCACAACTGCTTTGGAAAGCATTTTGGCAATTTGGAAGGCCAAATTACAAATGCACATACCTTACCCCAATAATACCACTTTTATGAATTTATTCCACAAACTTGTTTGCACAGTGCACTAAGAAACGTAGATAAAAATAATCATTACAGCACTGTCTAGGGTCGCAAAGGACTGGAAACAATCTACACGCGCTGATTTGAAATGATCTCTAAGAAATATGAAGTAAAAAAGGCAAGATACAGAACAGTGTTTACTGTCCGTGGGGTTAAAACTGTGCCTGGGGACAGGGAATGACAGATGCATGTGTGCTTGTATCTTACTAGAATATTTCTGCATGGATAGGCAAGGAGCTGGTTAGTGTTGCCTCCCAGGAGGGGAGCTGAGGCATTGGGGTGCAGAAGTGAGAAGGAGTGTTACTTTTCACTGGATACCCTTTTGTAACATTTGATGTATTTCCCATGTGTGTGTATTAATTTATTTAAAAAAAAACAACAGCAAAATCTATTAGGCTCAGGCTGTGTAGGCCATGTTACACTTAACTCCTCAGGGCCTAGCAATTACTCTACGCCGTTCTTGGCCATGATCTGTAACTGGAGATTTATGTTGTGACGTTTGTATTTTCTAGGAAATTTTATTTGACCTATGGATCTGGTCAAAAAGCTTTCGATCTGTTCAATCCAAACTTCAAGTCTACGTGTCAACGGTAAGCCATTTTACATGTCCTGAGTTACTTAAAGAAAAAAATTTTTTTTAAAGGATTTAGTTGTCAGTTTGTGAAGTTTTGTTGAATTCCGCTTGAAGAAAAAGATGAAGATCTGTTAAGGGAATGCTTGATACTGTGTAACAGTATATCTTGGCAACTCTCAGTATACAGACCTAAGATGTGACCACTTGGAATTCCAGGTTTGTGGAGAAGTACATTGAGCTACAGAAACTCGGAGAAACAGATGAAGAGAAGTTATTTGTGGAAACAGGGAAGGCTTTATTGGCAGAAGGTGTCATTTTAAGACGAGTAGGAGAAGCAAGGACTGTGAGTATTTTATTATTAAAATTGTTATTAGAATTAGTTGCCTCTTTGTCAGAGATTAAGGGAAGGCTTGGTTTTCTTTCCCCAGCCCTTGGCTCATATTCTTATACTCCAGGTCAAATACTATTAGATTGAATATACTGAAATTTTGTGGTAATGGCTGCTGCTGGCAACAAGTGAGTTGTCATTAGGGCTTTTGAAATTGTGGTTCTATAGAGATTTTTATCATGTTTTTGTTTGTTATAATGGAATTTGACCTGAGATGCTAATGTTAAATTTTTGACTCAGTGATAGAACAGGGCTAGTCATATGGCGTCAGCTAATTAATTGAGTGAAAATGGTAACATCTGTGTGACGTACTTACGTCTGGTCTTATAAGCAACAGGAGGGTCGTCCCGTTTCCTGGAAATCTGAACACGTGGATCGCGAACCCCAAACTGTGTTGGAAAAACACCAGCCTCTGAAAGAAGTCCCGCAGGAGCAGCATTGGGAGGCACCTGAAGAACAGTCGAAAGGCCTCTCACCTCCCTGAAAAACTTGCATCGTGTATACTGACAGCCAGACTGTGTGCACTGGATGGATGGTGAACTGTGTTTGACAGCTGAACTGTGTAAATGTTTCTTGATCTCTAAGGCATTGCGTTTGCCTTCTTCGAGTTCCTATTTCTAGGTTGTCATAAAGCTCAGTATCATGGTTTGAAAGAAGCAGTTATGTGAACTTTTATGTTAGGACGGTATTAAATAAAGAATTCCTTAGCTGCCTATAAAGTCAATTTACTTTAAAATTGTAAATAACATGAAGAAACCTTTATCAGTATTGTTTGAATGGGACCCATTCTGGGTAGGTTTGCCTGGGTTTTTGTGTTGATATGTGGGCTGGCTACATTTGATTCTCTGGTATGTTTCTCTTCTCTGGATCCATTAGACTTTTACTTACACATATGGTGTGGTCCCTTGGCCATCTGTTTCTGTCTGCAGATATCTTTGTACCTTCTGCTATAGAACGATTGGACTTCACTTCGAGCGGCCAAGCTGACTTGTGCTTTGCAGAGAGAGTGAGGACCCATCATTGATGATAGACAAAGGCCAAAACCATAACTTTAATCTCATGGACTGAGTGTGCTGGAGACAATGGGCATAGGCCCACACATAGTAGCTGCTCAGTAAAGATTTGTTGAATGAATGAATGATTAGACCAAATTCTTTAGACCAGCTAAAGACCAAATTCAGATGACATCTCTGTAGGTAACTGGGTTGCCAGGAGGGCCAGCTAGTTTAGATGATGCTCTCCACCAGCATCCACCTGCCTCCCCAGTGTCCAGGTGTGCTTACAAGGTCTGGTCAGCTGCTTTCCTCATTTCCATATCTTTGACTACATAAATGACTACTGTGGCCTTTGCATGTGTGGCGAGGCCAGTGATTTTCAGTTGCTGGTAATAAGCTGCTTCGGAAAGTCCTTATTTGAAAACTCGTGTAGCTTTTCTACCTGTTGTTCTTTGTGTACAGTGTCTTGTGTCTCCTGGTGGACTAAGGGCGGGCTCATGCCTCACAGCCTGTGTACCTCCGTGCACGTGGGTACTCAGTTAATGGGAAGTCACTGAGTACATGAGGCAAAAGCAATTCTCAGCCATGCTGCTCCCCCCTCCTCAGCCCCCCATCACTATTTTATCATTCCTTTTGTTTGGGGAATGCTGTGCTTTTAGATGGGGAAGTAAATTTCATCCATTCAGAAACATTAGTCAACTGTTCGGCGCCAAATACCAGGCCAGGCCTTGGGAGGAGACCTGAGCAGGTGGAGGAGATGGTTCTATTCTCAGAGGAACAGTTGAGGGCCCCTGATCTCTAAACCTTATGTTTCTGGGATTTAAAAGGCAGTTTCTTTGCCATGGTAATGAGGACTTAAAAAAGTTATTTGTTGCATAATTCTTTAAAAACTTATACATGCACATGGTTCAAAATTTAAAGATGAAAGCCAGTCTCCCTCCCACCTGTGTCCCCCAGCCACCAATTTTCCCTCCCATGAGGCCACCACTATCACCATTTCCTTGTGTGGCTTTCTGGAAGTATTTTGGGCATATACACGGGGACATTGCATACTGCTCTGTACCTTGTTTTTCCACTTAATGTGTTTCAGATCCTTTGTATGGATGCATAGTGATTTAATCAGTGCCAAGTGCCAGAAATGTGTCTGTGTTTTCTTGCGCTGCAAGTGGGCTGTATAGCCTTGGGAGGCATTCTTAGTGGTATTGCTGGATCAAGGAATAGCTCGTCTTCAGTTTTGGTATTATTCTCTAGAAATTGTGCTAAATTATCCTCCCACCAGCAGTGTATGGGAATGCCTGTTTCCCGACACCCGCAGTGGTACATTCTGATCTTGTTAGACCAGACTGGGCCTCTCATGAGGAGGGCCTAAGCCTGGTAGAAGGGAGAGAGACTGTCCCTTACAGCAAACCTTCTTCAGGTTGAAGCTCAGTGATCAAAACACAGTGAAAGGTGTGAAGCTTCCTTGAATTCAGAACTCTTTGCAGTCAGTGTGGGTGAAAGGCATCATCAGGTCCCTGTAGTGTTTGGAGAGAAGGGACCTCATTCATCCTTTAAGGAGCTTAAACTGTAGTTGGGAAGATCAAAGTGACTTGTGAAACAAGATGAACAGGAATCCTTTTAAATTATTATATGAAAGTATGGTAGAGAGTCAGGGAGAAGGGTCAGCCCTGGACTAGTCTAGGAATACTGCCCAGAGAGCCCTGAAGGGTGGCTGGGATCTGAAGTGTGTGCTGTTTCTAATGCCAGGAGCATCCTCCCTGCTACTACGTACCTTCACTGCCCTTTTCAAATGGTATCTCTGCTAGGAAGCTTTACCTAATGTTCATATCAGGTCTCAAGTCCGTCACTGAGCCCCTTACAGGTTGCACTAACATGCACTTCACTGCAGTGGGCACACATGGTTCGCTGCACTCCTGCCCGACTTAGCCTGGTCTTCCGTTCCAGTGGAAACGATCCTCTCCCTGGCTAGAGTGTAAACAAGGGCAGAAATTCTTATTTGTATCTACTGAGGCTTTCAACAGATCCTTAAGTAGACCCTCCACGTGGGTTTGCCGAGCCGAAGCTGGGGAAGGCTTGTGTCCAGGTTACAGTGAAGTTTCCACAAGACAAGTCTGAGGATCTGGCTTCTAGTTCTAGTTACTGCAGTTTTTACTAGTGTGACCTTGCCTGTCACGGTCTCTCAGACTACAAAATAGGAATAATGTTTGCCTCCTTGGCTTTGGGTTAGTATTGTGAGATTTGACATAATGAATGCAAAGCTCACTTGAAAGATGTGTGACAGGGTGCTTTTATGACTCTCGAGGAGTGGTGGGAAACTGGATTGAACAGATCGGATCACGGTGGCCTCAATAGCTGCACAGAGGAGTTCAGTTGGATATAAGAAAGTTCCAGCAGGGAAGCAACGTAGTGAGAGAAAGCAATGTCAGGTGGAAGGAAGTTTCGCCTAGATGTGATATAAGGAGTAGGGTTGGGGGAGTGGGCAGGGAGGGAGAGAAACATGGTCTCTCTGCAGTGATTCCAAGGTTGCAAACCCAAGTGACCAGAGAAGAGCAGCATCACTGACAGACAGCAAGGTGGGGAAGAGGCACTGGTGCTCTCAGAGGAGGCGCTTCAGTTCTCCGCATACTGAGTTGGAGGTGATGGTGCAGCGTCCAAGTAGCGGACAGAGATATGGGTTAGGTGTCTGGGAGACAGGGAGGAAATTCAACACAGGGTAAAGATTGGAGGCAAGAGAAAGAATGAGCTCTCCAAGGGGAAGTGTAGAGAGACAGGACGTCGGGGGCTGAGCCAGGTGAATGCTCTCAGTTAAGGGACAGGAGGAAAGAGAAATCGGCAAAGGAAATAGGTCCCACATCGTCCATCATCTGAGGAGCGAGGCTTGTTCACGTGGTCCTGGATTCACCAGCTTTTATTTATTTGTTTCTGTTGGGTAGACCCGATGCTTGATTGTGTGTCCTTAAAAGGCAAGCCCAATTCTTTTTGTAACTGTGTGTGATATTTAGCATCGTGTTCTCTGATAATGAAAGTGGTATTACAGAAAAATCGGTGCCTCCAGAAGGTTCCTGATTTTGTTAATACCCTTCTGTCTGTGTAAATGATGGCTTGCCACTTAAAAACGTTCAACGGATTCTTTTTTTTTAATTTTATTTATTTTTCCCCCAAAGCCCCAGTAGATAGTTGTATGTCATAGCTGCACATCCTTCTAGATGCTGTATGTGGGACACGGCCTCAGCATGGCCAGAGAAGTGGTGTGTCGGTGCGCGCCCGGGATCCGAACCCGGGCCGCCAGCAGCGGAGCGTGTGCACTTAACCACTAATCCACAGGGCTGGCCCCAACAGATTCTTTTTTTAAACAAAGTCACTCAAGTGGGATGATAAGATTTTCTGTAAGGCTAGCCCTGGTGCCTGCCTCTGCTTGAGAATCCAGACAAGGCACGCTGGAGTCGTGGGGCCCCGTCCGCCCTTCTAGGGTCTCAGCTATGACCAAGCCCGACTCAGAACTGGGCGGGCAGTTTTCCTGACCACGTGGGAGCTAGGGCATATGCCGGGATGTGGCTCTGATAGTGAAAGCGAGCTGGCACTGCCTCAGCTAGAGGACAGTGGAGCTAGGCACAAGGAAAGGTGAGTCGTGTAACGGGGGGCAAGGTTATCACTTTGTTCCTGGTCTGTACCTTCCTGAGCTCCCTTCCAGAGCAGCCAAAAGGTAGAGGACTGCGGGCTAGGTTAGTCCTGTGTTCTGAGCCTTTAACCGGCTCGGTGAGACGGACACTTGAGCAGGTTTGGTGAGCAACTTGGTTAGGTCACCTTGGTTGGTGGAGGAAGGGCATCTGCCCCCCTGTGGAAAAGACAGGAAATGGCTTTCCTGTCACTCCTAGGGTAGTGCTCAGTGTGGCAAGAGGGTCTCTGATTGGATGAGCCCAGCGCTGGAGCAGTTTCTGGGGAGAACCAGACAAGTGGTTATTGCTGCAGCACGGAAATGAGAAGGTTGCCAAGGGAAGGCAAAGGAGGCAGGAAGTGAAGTACTACATCCCCCACCAAGTGTCACCACCACCGCCCCCCATCCGTGCAGATTACAGAGAGGGGACTTTTGTTGAATGTGAGCTGACAATGAAATTACATCTTGGGTACAATTTTACCCTTGATTGATGCTTTTCCTGGACTGGAACTTAAATGTCAGTCACCTGACCTTCTACTTGCTCAGTTCTTTTAATTAAAGGATGGTTCTAAGCAACATCCAGGAGTGGTCTATTTATTATTTATCAAGCATTTTCCTTCCAGCAGTTACTGAAAGGTCAGTGGCTTCAACGGATGCTTTGTTTTTGGTGAGCAGCTTAGATGAAAAAGATACGTGATCAATCTCTCCTCCCGCCTGTTTGCTCATGGGCAGGATACTGTTTAATAGTCATTGTGGCATTTAGGATCGCAGGCCTCTGAAACAGGCAGAAAGGTGCATGTATATCCCTCGCTACTGAACATTTCTTCAAAAGTAAACATCAGGTTGTGATTATGGTTAATAATGAGATATTGATTGTTGGAAAATGTCACTGCCGGGCACCGTTGGCCCCAGCACCACTAGATGGCGCTGCACTCTCATGCTGTTCAACTACGGTGATTGTATTTCCTTGCCTCAGGGTACCTTGCCTTTCAAGGTTGGCGAGTGTCCTTGTAAAATAATGTTCTGGCTGAGATTTAGTAAGCTGAGGTCCTGGGGTGCCTGGGATAGG